TGTTTGTCCTTTGGGGACTATGTCATGTCAGGCATAAAAGTTCCCACATACAAATCATGTGATCCAGTCCTTTGAATCATCTCCTGACTCCACGTGTCATTGCTTTTTTAGAAAGAACCACATAGTGTTACAGTGCTCTCTAGCATTCCTGAGTACAAGAGGGCTATTCCCCATCTTAGAAATCAGGAGATTTAGAGAGGCTAGAGCGATAAGATAGTACAGCAGGTAGGGCATTGCCTTGCATGTGTCCAACCCAGGTTGAATTCCCAGCATCCCATATAGTCCCCTGCGCACCACCAGGAGTGGTTACTGAGTGCAGAGCCAGGAGTAACCCCTTCCTTTGCATTGAATGTGACCCAAAAAGCAAAAACAAAAAACAAAACAAAAAAATCAGTCTTAGAGAACTTGATACAAAATTGAGTAATAGTGCTGCTGGCCACTTTTAATGAATCAACAATATATATATAATAGATACTAAATGTGCCTGTTTATCAGTTAACAAAAACATAGGGTCCAAACTTTTCTGACTTCTTTGCAAGGCAGAGGGAACAGGCCTAGCTGATAAAGTGAGACTCATTTAGATCTCTTGCCTTTCAAAGTAAGATGGGAAAACTGTCTGGTTTAAAGCCTCTGAATCTGTAGTACTCTGTAACTACAGAAATTAGAAACTAATATGGCAGTGTGTGGACCATGTGGGATGTCAGGGATTGAATGTAGGTTGGTGGCTTTCAAGGAAAATGGCCTACGCATTGTACTCTCACTCCAGTCCCTAAATTTATTGGTTTTAAATGAATTTTATATATATGTTTACAAGTTTACTTGAACATATGAAGTCACAATCTATTTATCTAAATCTATAGAATGTTCACTAAGAGTAAGCCCTACTATAAATCATGGAATTTATTTTGGTTTAAATATAGGCTTTAGTGAGAACATATTAATACTCTATTGAGGGCTAAAGATAACAAGGGAGACACTGGGGTCGAGTTAATAAAAAATGCCTGTACTTTCAGTTTTACTATGAACCCCAAACTGCTCTAAAACACTAGCCTTAAACATATTATGAGTAACAAATGGTTAATTGGCAACAGACCTTGAGAGATGGCCTACAAAATAGAGTCTACCAAGGGAGGGCTTGGGATGGTAATGGACCCCCCACACAAAGGTGGAGGGATGCTGACACTGGCGATAGCTGTGGTGTTGGAACATTGTATGCACAAAGCCTTATCATTAACAGTATTTTAAATTATGGTGCCTACATAAAAACTGAAAAACAAAACTAAAAAGATTATCTCAAAGAGAAGCCACAATATTGTTTTAACTAAGAGTTAAATGATTTGTTGCTATAAAGATAATACAAGGGTTAAAGCACCTGCCTTCCAAGAGGCTGAGCCATTTGAACGCTGGCACCAACCAAGCACAAATAGGAGTGCCCAGTGAGCTCAGAGTAAGGTCCGCACACACTGAGTGACCCAAACCACTCGCCCACCAAAAGAAAATTAAATGATTTCATCTTTGTTCTGACAAAGTATGCTACAGATTTAGAAAAAAAAAAGTTTCCAATAATGATTTGAAGTTATTTTTGTTGAGATTTCTTTTTGGGTCACACCTGGCGATGCACAGGGAATTACTCCTGGCGGTGCTCAGGGGACCATATGGGATGCTGGGAATTGAACCCGGGTTGGCCACGTGCAAGGCAAATGCCCTACCTGCTGTGCTAGCACAGCAGGTAGGGCGTTTGCCTTGCACGCAGCCAACATGGCCGACCCAAGTTCGATTCCTCCGCCCCTCTCGGAAAGCCCGGCAAGCTACCGTGAGTACCTCGCCCGCACGGCAGAGCCTGGCAAGCTCCCCGTGATGTATTCGATATGCCAAACACAGTAACAACAAAGTCTCCAATGGAGACGTTACTGGGCCCACTCGAGCAAATCGATGATCAACGGGAGGGCCTTTGTTGAGATATTGCAGGTGTTTTGGTACCATGAGTATGATTACACATGCTATTAAAAAGCTCATTATTGGGCCAAAGAGATAGTACAGATTCTTGCCTTGTTCAATTCCTGGTACCACATATGGTACAGAGCACCGACAGGACTGATCCCTGAGCACAAAGTCAGGAGTAAGCCCTGAACACCACTAAGTATGATCCCAAAACAAAAATACTGATATTAAAAATAAAATTATTTGGTTTAAATTATATGGAAATGTATTTTGATGGACCAGTGTTGTGAAAAAAAATGATCTTGTCAAATATATTCATACAACTTCAGAGAAACCAAATTTTTTAATGTGATATTTATGTTGAAAACAAAATAATTTGTTCTTGGTACATATATTTCTTCAGTTTTTAAAGGATTATTTAATAAATCACCTTGTCCCAAAATAGAATTAAATTGCAACCACATCTTCTAAATTTTATCTAGTTTATTATTATTTGGTGCAATAGAAGAATCATGCTTAAGACACATAGGATCAAATACCTAGCACTTGTGGGTTACTTTACATGACAAAAATAACTGCAAATGTGTATCTTAATATTGTCAGTTTGTCCTGGATTATTCAGGAAAATCCTGAATGTCCTGAGTTCTGAGCAATCCTTTAGACACTTTGATTTTGGTGAAACAGATTTCAAATGTTTAACCTCAAGAACTGTGAGAGTAATCTTTCATATTTTAAGTTACCAAATAACTGTACAGTAATTTTATTTTGTTACCATAATCAGTCATGATAAACTTAAAAAGTTGGAAATATTTGGTCCCATATCTAATGAATTGAGCATCAGTAGTTTCAGGTATTTTAGTATTTGCATTTGAATTGCAACTGTTAAAAACAAAGCTTAAAACTGAAATCTGTCTCAACAAAAACAAGTACTTGGCAATTAAATGGTGAAATTCCAAATGACAATCAAGAGTAATTCAACTTTCAAAAAAAACCTTTTGATTAATTTATTATTTACAGTTGTGTAGATTTGTATTATGCATTGGAATGAAGTAAAAATCCTTCAAGTTTAGTCATATCTAAATAACTATTCAAGAAAATCATAAATCAAACAACTTATTGGACAATATTTGTTTTCAAATATTTTATCAAATTAAAGTTAAAATGGAGGCAAAGAAACAATACCGTATTAAAATATTTACCTATGAATGTGAAAAACAGTATTGAAAGTTTCTTTCATTACGAAAAATTTTGCTCTGATTTTATCAAGTATATAAGCAACCTTATATACTAACCCTTAATTAACAGTATTGTACTGAGATTAGGGAGATTGCTCAAAGGGCTAAAGCATATGCATTAGATGCTCAAGGTGTGGGTTTGATCTCAACTCCCCAAGTCACTGAGAATGGCAACCCCAAAAAAAAAGAACAAAAATTTCTACCGAGTTCACTGAAATGTCAACAATTCACATTTATTAAGCCTAAATGCAATTTAAGATATTTTATGTTTATATGAAAAATAAAAGATGAGGAAACATATTTTTTCAAAAAATAACAAAAAAATTCTACTTTAAAAAGATAGAAAATGGATCAAATAATGTGAATGTGTACCAAGTAACTATCCTATTTATTTTTAATGATCAGATGTTTTCCATTCTTTTCTCCTTTTATGTCTGCACATACCTTTCAGATAAACACAAGCATGTACCTTTTTTTTTATTATTTTATACATAATTCTACCTTTTGGAATTAGTTGAGCTTTTTGTTATTTTTCTGCAGGGCGAGGAATCAAATACTTGAGGAACACACATATAGAAAACATGAATTCTAGCACTGAGCCACGTCTCTTGAAATCAGGTTTCGATAGCATTATTTTTAGTTCTACCAATATGATAAAAGCCATTTCTGGTCAATAAATTGTTTCAAAAACTATACAATTATTTTAGTTCTCCCCTATAATAGACTTGTATAATTTATATAGCTGAACACTCCTCTTGAAGGAAAAAACAGATTAATGATTTTACCTATCCTTTTAAAATCTGTTCGGCACTTAAGATTTTGTCTATGTATTCTTTTCAGGTAATAAAATTGAGAAAGTTAATTGACTCAGACATTGTGCTGGGTAGTTCATATATACATATGAATTCAGAAATAGTACTAATGAAACATGTGTCAATAATTCCATTTTAAGGGTAAGGGAATGTTTTTATAAACAAAGTAGTGACCAGAAATAGACTGCTGAGATAAAATTTAACTTTACAATAGATTGCTGAGATAAATTTAACTTCATGGAGCAGGAGAGAGTACAGTGTGTAGGGTGTTTGCCTTGCAGTCAACCCAGGTTCTATCCCTAGGATCTCATATGTGAGAGCTAAAATAATTGAGACACAGATGCTCTAATTTTTAAACCTATCCTAATACACATAGAAGGGCAAGTGTTCCCATATAAAAGCAAAATAAAAAAACTTATTTGAGGCATGATTTAGGAATGCGATAAATACTTTTACAGTACAGAAAACTCTTTGCTCGAACACTACTAATCATAAAAACTAAAGCTGATTAAAAAACTGATAGATTTATTTTTAAAAAACATATCAAGTGATAAGTTCACATGCAAAACTCAGAGAATTCTAACATTAAAAAAACACAAAAAAGATTGTTTTCTTTTTATTTTATACAATTCAAATAATTTATTTTATATATTTTAAAATACTTTCAAATTCATCTTGGACCTGGCACTTTCCTGGGGTTTAATATACTGATCAAATTGTTCAATGCAGCTTCCTTTCACATTTATCCATTTTTGTTTAAGAAAAAGAAATTTGTCTTGCTCTTCAAGGTCATGTTCTCTCTTTAACATTGTATCTCATTTGCTTGTCTCAGTGTTTATCATCTGCTTGCCTATGTCCACTCTAAAGAGACCTGTGTTCTTTCTCAAACACGTTCTCCCTCATTCTTCCCTCACATTCTCCCTCATTCTTCTCTCACATCTTTCTAAATAAATCTCAATAAAAACTATCTCGCTTCAACAAAAAATAAAAGATCTGCATACATTTTACTTAATTTTACAATAATTATTTTTATTTAAATTCCTTTAAGTCACTTTGGGCCCAGCATTTCCTTAGGTTTTACCCACTCATCAAACTGTTCTGCTGTGAGATAGCCAAGTTCAATAGCAGTTGCTTTCAAGGTTGATCCATTTTTGTGTGCTGTCTTAGCAATCTTTGCTGCCTTGTCATACCCTGAAGAAAAAACAAAAAGGCAATACAGTTGTAAATACTAAAATTACACTTTTGTTTACTTGATACTGATACTACAGACACTACTAATATTTTAAAACCTTGATTAACTATCAAGAAAATTACAAGATATTTGGTTTTTTTTTATTTATTTTTATTAAAACACCATGATTTACAAAGTTGTTCATGATGCTGTTGTTTCAGGCATTTAATATTTCAACACCACCAATGTGATCTCCCCATTGTCCCCAATATCCCTCCCAACTCCAACCTGTCCCTAGAGACATAACAAATTTACTTTATAGTGCTTCCTAACAAAACTTAAAAGAAATGGTAGACACTCAATTCCTCTTTTGCAAACCACAGCATCCCAGGGGAGAGAACAAAAGGGAATGCCCTGCCACAGAGGCAGGGTGGGATGGGGGATAGGGGGTGGGAGAGATACTGGGATTGGGAGTGGTAGATAATGGGTACTGGTGAAGGGATGGGTGCTCGATCATTGTATAACTGAAACCCAAGCACAGAGATTTGTAAGTCTACAACTGTACCTCATGATGTTTCACTAATAAAAAAAATTTTAAAAAAAAGAAATGACAGAATGATCAGAAAATAAATCTATAAGAGCCAATTTATGATTTGATTGTGGTATGATTTTAACTGTATAGATAAGGAAATTAAAACCATTAAATACAATATAATAAAATGCCTATTCTCATTCAAGTAACTTTTCAACTCTGGAATCTAAAGTATACTGCATTAAATTTTATTTTATATTTGGATCTCATTATGGGAATAATCATGCCCTATGCATCACTAAAATTTTGTTTTAAGTTCTATGCTAATGTATTTGAGCTTACATGAAATAGGTTTAAGGCCTACAGATGTAAATTTTTTTCTAATCTAGATTAACAAAACATTAACACAAAAGGCTTAACTTGTAACAACATATATTAGTAATCCCTCATACAAAGACAATGTCTCCATGGTGAGATACAACAATTTACACTAATTTTTTTTCTAAAGAAATATTTTTTTAAATCATTCCATTAGCTATTTATTATTAACAGGCAAAAGAAAGTAAATTATTGTTAGCCTTCTACAGGAGCAGGCTTGAGGAGCAACTGGAGACAGTGGCGGAGGGAAGGTGATTTGCTGGTGGGACTGGTGTTGGAATACTGAATGCCTTTAACAAATCATCATGAATAATTTTGTAAACCGGCGTTTAAATCGGAAACTCAGGACTTAAAAAGATACAAAGCAAGGTAGCTACAGAGGGCTAAAGGCAACAGAACAACTGATCCTGGGAACTGCTGGGCTGGGGAAGCTGGACAGGGTGTGGTTTGCAGGTAAGGAGCCCTGGCAATTTTAGGGTAGACAGGTAGACTAGTGATGAGTGTGGTGGTGATAAGTTATAGTGTGCCCATCTTCTAGTACAGCATTAATTTTCTTTTAAGCATATCCCACATTAACTTTATTTCAGAAAGATTTACCAGTTTTAGCCAATTTTAGAAGAATCTCTAATTTGAGTCTTTAACAATAATTTATTTTTATTTTTTTAAATTTTTTTTAAACTTATTATATTTTTGTTGGTTTTGTTTTGATCACAACCAACAGTGCTGAGGGGCGATTCCAGACTTGGTGCTGGAATCTTGGGGGTCACTACAGGTGGTGCTCGGGGTGACAATGTGTGTGGTGCTAAGAACTGAACGTAGGCCTCCTACATGCATAGCATGGGCACCAACCTGTTGAGCTATCTCTCTGGCTCCTTGACAACAAAGTCTTAAGTACAGATATAATATGACCCTTTAGTTCTTCCTATGTGTTTCACCAGTTGAATGCTGATGCACAATAGAGAGTGAGTGTGTGTGTGTGTGTGTGTGTGTGTGTGTGTGTGTGTGTCGAATCCAGGGCCAAATGCAAGGCAAGTGCTCAAAATGCAAAGCAAGTGTTCAATGACTGAGCTATGCTCCTGGCAATATAACAATTTGAGAATAACCAAAATATTATCATTAATTTTAATATTTATACCAAAAACAGATAACATGTTGGGGCTACTGCTTGAAGTAATAAAATGAGCTCTAACTGTAATGCTAAAAGTATAGCTTAATGTAAAAACCAAGAATACAAATATATGCCTTGATTGTTCATAATTATCGGTAGCTGGTAGCTCAGAGGGAAAGTCACTTGCCTTACACAAACAAGGCCTACCAGAGTTCAACCCCCAGCATTTCATGGTCCCCACATCTGTCAGAACTGATCCCTGAGAGCAGAGTCAGAAGCCCTGAGTACCACTGGGTGTGGCCCAAAAAGCAGCCGGGTGGGGGCGTAGGGGGGAAATCAGTTTATAACTTTTAAATGAATAATTATATCATAACAAATTATTATAACTTGTTCTAAAATAGGAAATTAAAAAAGTTAACCACCTCAGATAAGCTTTTAACATATACCTCAAAACTAGCAAGTTAAATAGTATATTTAATAGGAGCACGAAAGCCATTTTACATTTGAGGTCTGTACGTCTGACCCGCATCATATATATTTGCAATTCGGAAAAAGGCTTGCAATGCAACACTACTTCTACTTTCTCTTTTATTCTTATCAGCAATAAACATTTTTAACCATTCATTTTCATTTATGAATAAAATAAGACATCAAAGTATAAGCTAAGCCTCTAGAGAAAATTGAAAGGAATGAGGGACTGAGTGCATACTTTGCATTAAGAAGGCCCAGGTTTCAATCCCCAGCATTGCTCAGTTCCCCAGCACCCTGGGACTGGCTCCAAAAACAAAAAAAAATGGAGAAGACAGAAAAATATTTCTTTTCATACTACTAATCAAGTGACATACCAATAAAGAAGTCTTTCTTAGTGCCTGCTCTGATAAGCAAGCATCTGAATTCCACCAAGACAAAAAAAAAAGTTTGGACTATTACTACTAAATTTACCTCATATTAAGTAAAAATGAAGCATAACATCAACCTTTTAAAATAACTGACATTATATAGTCTTATAACTGCTAATAGTTTAGAAATATTCAGAATATTTGCTGACAATGAAAGAGTGTCTTAAAATTTTTATTTTATGTTTAAAATAACATCATTCATTTAAGACCTTACCTATATGAGGATTAAGAGCTGTCACCAACATTAGAGACTCATTCATTAGTTTATTGATCCTTTCTGTGTTGGCTTGAATTCCTACCACACAGTTTTCTGTGAAGGAAACAGATGCATCCCCTAGAAGCCTGGCTGAGTGCAACACATTTTTAATCTGTAAAAGACAAACAACTATTAGGCCTGCCTGCCTCTTTGTCCATAACATTTGCTACTTTCTGGCTGATAAATGGGCATATAATTCAATAAAATATAATACTTCTACAACTTGTAATGCACTATGGCAAGAAAATAAATAGAAAAGAAATTATAAAGATTAAAAGGCATTAAAATCTAAAAAAACTTGAGAAACCATAGCATGAATAACTGAACTATGAGACAGCTTGTGGCATTATAAAATAGTGGTATGAAATATCAGAGAATATATAAAAAGTGAAATTAATTTCAAATGTAGGAACCAGTGAAATCCTTTTTGATATAGAGGACTTAAATGGGTAGAGACTAAAAAACAATCTTTTTCACAGAAGAAAGAGGAGATTCAAGTAGGCAGAAATTACAAATTGAGTATATTGGAAGAAACCAGTGAAGATAATGTTATCAGTATTTTTAAGTATAAAAGGTCACATCTCTCATACTTAAAAAATTTCCTACAGCCACTTTAAATAATCTTTCATATTTTAAAACAGCATAAAATAATTTTTAGTATTTCTTTCTTTTTGCTTCCGACATGTAGTACAACAGATTCACATACTATTATTTTCTGGTTTAAACCTTAGATCTGAAAATTGTTCATCAGTAGATGATGCCACTTTACTCCATTATAAAGATGAAGGAAAAACAGCACAGTGTTAATGAACACAGTAATTTTTCAAGGTATGTAAAGAGATAAATCAATAAAAGTCTGAAAGAAAATAGAAAACTAAAGAAAATTCCAGAACGATAGTGCAGCAGGGAGGGTACTTGTTTTGCATGTGGCTGAATCAGCCTTAATATTTGGCATCCCATATGGTCCCCAAAGAACTGCCAAGAGTAATTCCTCAGTGCAGAGTCAGGAGTAACCCCAGAGCATCGCCAGATGTAACAGGGAGGGAGAGAGGGAGAGAGGGAGAGAGGGAGAGAGGGAGAGAGGGAGAGAGGGAGAGAGGGAGAGAGGGAGGGAGGGAGGGAGGGAGGGAGGAAGGAAGGAAGGAAGGAAGGAAGGAAGGAAGGAAGGAAGGAAGGAAGGAAGGAAGGAACTGATCTGTTATTCTGCAAACTGGCTCCTACCCTCAGAACAATTGTGACATCCTTTTCTCTTGGAATATATATTCCAGAAGCTGATCCAAGGATATAAAACTGAGAAAAATATACTATAACGTATAATGTGTTATTGAAACTATCTAAACTGGACACATAACCGAACATAGTTAAAACTCATAAAAGGTTTTGAGACTTGGTGCAAAGTACAGAAAACTGAGTTTTCAGCCTCCCAAGACAAAACTCTCAAGTTTACTTAGCTATAAAAACTACCACCTATCAATAATGTGGATCACCTTTTTTCTTTCGTCTTTTTCTGATCTCTGTAAATGAGGAAAGATGATTTCAGATTATACCTTCTAAGGCTGAGGCCCAACAGAGACCAAGGACAGGAAGTATTTCATAGAGAGAAGACTGAAGGTAAGATGTTGATGGAGAAAGACAAGGCATGTCTACTGAAGCCAGGAAATCACAAATGACTGTGAGGACAAACCAAACTAAAGTGAAAAAGCTGAGGAGACTTCAGTGACTGAATTTTTTCAGAGGACTGAATTCTGACATCAGAAGAAAGAAAAAGCAAGAGGAGATGAGTTTTTTTAATTAAAGAGACTTGGAATTCTTTATTGTCACTGGCATCCTGAGGGAAATTATACTCTTCTTCCACAATTTTTCTTACAACTAGAAAAGCAGGACTAGGGAAGTGGCTTACAAATGCGTAAGCGCTTTGCATGTGAAAGTTCCTAGATTTATTCGCAGGCACCATTAAAAAACAAACCAATAAAAACCCTTAAATTTAAAAAATTGAGTAATAATGAAACCAAGCAAACAACCAAATCACCTGAGTTAAAAGTCACCTAATATCCAAGACTAACTTCTAGCATTTAATTTATGATTGACTTCAAATGCTACTTGTATCAAGGGTCTGGAAAGACAGTACAGCAGGTAGATTTTGCCATGCATGCAGTCAACCTGGATTTGATCTACACCATCCCATATGGTGCCTGGAACCCCGCCATAAGTGATTCCTAAATGCAGAGCTAGGAATAACCCCGGAGTACTGTTAAGTGTAGTTGTGTAGTCCAAAAACAAACTGACCAAAGCAAACAAACAACCCACAATAACAAATGCTACTTATATCAAATACCTAGCATGTAACTGTAGCAAGCTTTATGAAAGACAAAAATCAGGGCATGGAGATGATAGTACAATGACTAGGGTGCTTGCCTTGCATGCAAATGACCTACATTGGAGACCCAGCATCCCATATGGACCCTTGAGCCCACCAGGAGTGATTCCTAAATATAGAGGCAGAAGTTAAGTCCTAAGCACTTCTGGATATGTGCCTCCAGCACCAACCACCAAAAAAAAGATACTGATCCTCAGAGCAAAACATTAAAAATACAATTTAGAGCTTACCATCATTGGCTTGAAAACATTCAACTCAAAATGTCCATTGCTGCCTCCTACAGTAACAGCAACATGATTCCCCATAACTTGAGCTGCAACCATGGTCATTGCTTCACACTGGGTCGGGTTCACCTTGCCTTCAGGAAAAGTATCAGGAAATAAATCCATATCAAATGGGCTCATAACATCATGTATCAGCAGTTAAGTTTACATTCTGTGCCAAATAACAAAACTTAATTTCATTAAGTAATGTATAACATGCAATCAGTACATAAAGCAATCAGTACCAATGTATTGAATCCTAAAAAAAGAAGAGATGAATAATCACAAGATGTGAATCATTTAATGGCTAGTGAGTAATAATAATAATAGACAAGACTTTAAGTGTTTTCTCTCCACTGTACTCGATATACAACAGGGAATAAAAATAAATGCAAACCCAGCCTTTATAGACAACTGAAAGTGACTAGAAATAGCCGGTAATTAAAACAGATAAAGAATAAATAAAAAGAATTTCAAGCTGCTGTGGGAACACTTATTCAAGAAGCACGTCACCAATACTTGTGAGATTTCTCAGAGGAAGACTACAATAAGCTAGAAAAATCCCTATTAATTGTATGAATGTGGAGAACCCCAACATCCTAGTAAGTCTTCTAATACATTCCAATTTGAGCCAAATATCCCAAATTCTGACAATTACAGGTAACAAATTAGAAAGATTATTTCCTTCCATTTCTTTCTGATGACTACACCTAGGATTTGTGATCAACTAAATTCAAGTCAGTTTTTTGTTTGTTTGTTTTCTTTTTTTTTTTTTGGGTCACACCTGGCGATGCAGTTACTACTGGCTCTGCACTCAGGAGTTACTCCTGGCGTTGCTCAGGGAACCATATGGGATGCTGGGAATCAAACCCGGGTCGGCCGGGTACAAGGCCCTACCAGCTGTGCTCTCTCTCCAGACCTCATGTCAGTTTTTAACACTAAACATTTTATAATCAGATCTTCTCTTCTGTGCATTTACCTTAATTAAGCAAGGAAGGAGTAGGCCAAACCCTGCAGTACTCAGAATTTACTTCTTGCTCTGTATTAAAGGGTCACTCCTGCCAGTATTTGAGGGACCATATGCTGTGTCGGGGATTGAGCTGGCATGGTTGCATGCAAGACCTTAATCCCTGTAGTATCTCTCTGAGCTTTTAAAACTCTAGTCTGCTTTTTTTTTCATTACTAAAAGTCCACTTCAGTGTGCTTCCAAGATAACCCTCCAGTCTTTAGTCAATTCACTAATGACACTTTAAATGCACAATCCATTTAAAACTATCTAATCCCCATCTACTAACACTTCTCTTACTTTTCCATGGCATTCAATGAATACCAAATGACTCGTTAAAATGCTGACATCCAATACAGTTTTATTCTACCTTCATTTTTAGGTAAAACCAGTTATCCTAGAGACCTGAGCACATTATCAGTCCCTTTAGAATTTCCCCAATTCTATTTATATTGTTAACGATGGAACAATTAAATATTTTTTCTAATGTGGGAATCAAAACATACACTGCTAACTAAAATTCTTTTCTCTTACATCATTGGATAATATCCGCAAAGTCCTAATCAAAGGTGGCAAACAAGCACATTCTAAAGCAAGTACAGTGCACATGTCTCATCCATCTTTATAATCATGTTAAACAAATAGAAATATATTCTGTACAGAACAATGTTTGGGTTCTTAACTGTTTTAGTCCCAACATTTACAGCTTACCTGGCATAATACTACTTCCTGGTTCATTTTCAGGTAAGATCAATTCTCCCAGACCTGAGCGGGGACCAGACCCGAGAAAACGAATATCATTTGCTATCTTCATCAAACTGCAGGCAGTAGTGTTCATGGCTCCACTAAGTTCAACCAAAGCATCATGAGCAGCCAGAGCTTCAAATTTATTTGGAGCTGTGACAAAAGGCAAGCCTAGAGAAAATAATAACTTATCTGAGTTAGCAGGTAAAATTAAAAGTTTTTTAATATCAGAAATAGTGTTCTAATATATAAGAAGCAAAAATAGACCAGAAAAAAAATCTTATTTCAGAAATAAAATAAATTAAAAAACTTTTATTTGGGGATTCAAGCTTTGGCTACATTTCTTTAAAACATTCTAAAGAAGGGGGCCAGGAAATGGTTCTGTACCTACAGCACCAGCCTTGCAAATTTAAGGTCCACAATCCCTGGGTCTGCCTCATGCACCAAGCAAGATTCTGGTACCACAAAGCAATTTCTGGCCACACTGTAGCTAAGTGAGCATAAGTATCACAATTAAAAAGATGTGAAAGTACTGCAGCAAAGAGCATAATTCTCGATGAGCACTACAGTCTAATGTGAGTAAATTAATAATTGCAATACCAGTAAGTAGGGGTACAAAAACTGAACTGAAAAAAAAGTGCAAACCAGCAAATCTATGACCTAGTGTATGAACACAATTTGATGTGCAACCCAAGAAAGGATTATAACCGACTGTGTAGGACAAACAAGCACTAGAACCAACTATATATACAATCTCTGATCACTGGATCAACAACAGAGGGAAGGGAAGAGGGGGAGGAAGAATGTTCTGCAGGAGTAAAAAAAAAAATTAATGTTATTAGAATTTGAGAGTACAAAAAAAAACAGTATTTGAGCAAATACGATGAACACACTGAAAGGAAAACACTGTACTCCTACAAACATATGATTTTAACAACACTTAAGATGAGAAATAGGAGAAATTATACTCCTTTCCTAATGTAATTCAGCCATACTGACCTCACTGCCCTTCCCCCACCCTACCGCAACCCCCACACTGGCTGTTTTAGTCTTTCCTCCATGTGAGTTAAAAAAAGTGTGGGCGCTCTCTGGAAAGAAAGATGGCGGCCGCATGGGAGCCTTGTGGAGAGCAGGTCTGAGCCGGAGGTGGGGGCACGACTGAAACCTCATGGGACGGATGGGACGGGGGGGGGGGGGGGGGGGTGTTCCGGCCCATCTTTCACGCCCTACCGAGGTCACCAGTTGCCCCCCACGAGCGGCTCTCTGACATCATTTAATTCTTGAACCCAGCTGTAGAAAGCAAATCATTTCACAATGCTTTTTCAGCATGGCTGATTTGGGGGGGGGGGGGGGGGGTAAAGTCTAAATAATAATGGTGCAACTTTTATCGAAACAATGAAGCTAGCCAAACTAGATGGAGTGTTAAGTAGAATTCATCTGCCCCACAGGCATTGGGGGGAGGGGTTTACTGGGGTTCTTCGTGGTGAAAAATAAGTATTGGTAAAGGGAAATGTGATTGATATTTGTATGACCAAGACCTAAACCTGAAAGCTTTGTAACTTTTCCCACAGCGATTCAATAAATAAATAGATTTTAAAAAAATGAGCAAATTATAAAGAAAATTAAAAAAAAAAAGTGTGGGCGTGAGCTATGTGAGTATGGTGGCCATGAGTTGCCTACCCATCCCAAGCTGGTTGGTGATCAGTTGCCATTTATTCCAATCTCCATCCCGCAGTTTCTTCCATTCTCCTCCCCCCCCCCATACACACACCATTCCAGTCTTGCTTTGCCTCTCATTCCCAACACCCTGAGTTCCCAGTCCTGTCTCATAGCCTTAGTCATCCACCCAATCCCCTAGAGTTGGAGGAAGCAAATACACATAGGTAAGGTAGCACAATCAACATATGTAAAGCCCTTCCTCTGGACAAAATTGTATCCTGCCCAAGGGCAGAATCCCATCTAAGGTGTGTTACTTTGCCCTTTCCTTAGCTACCATTCATTTAAACAGTCATCTTAAGTTTACTTCTTAATAATATTTCTAGTCATTTTGTATGGACACAGTAAGAGATTTGCCAATCTTAAAAGGTGGCTCTTCCTGGAGATATCTCACTATATATCCCAGACTTCAGTTCTCAGGCCAGGTTAGTCTTTCCTAACCCTAGCAGGGTCCTTATACAGTTACTTCTTTTTGGGTCATGACACAGTTTATCTATGTCTGTGCTCTTATAATAGGTTTTATGGCGCTTGGCCTGTCCCTTTTTAATGCCAGGGTAGCTTACGATTTGTCCCTTTTTGATGCTTGGATACCTTATAGCTTGCCCTAGGTCCATTCAAGTCCCTCACCAGGACCCTCCTTTTGGGATGCTAGGAACTAAGGGCAACTGTTTAAGTTCAGTAAATATGACAGATGCCCAGGAGTAAATATAATTTGGGATCAATTAATTCTCAAGTAACAAGAGCATAGCATGTCTTCCTGTGTCTATATAAAAAGGACATTGCTTGAAAGTAAACTGCAACGGGCATAAAGGAAAGAGAAAAGCAATATTTCAATTGCATATACAAAATCCATGGTCCCCAGAAGAATCAGACTTTATAAGGGTCTGATTAGGGGAAATGAGCAATTAACAGATAGGGGAAACAGAAAATAAAGGAGAAGTTAAAGATGAATGGGAATGCCTGGGGAGCATTGTGATGGGTGTTACTTAATAAACCTAAGCTCCTCACAGCAGCAAAGGAGAAAGGACAAAACAATGTTTTCCAACACCTCCAGTCAGAAGCTCCCAAGATTCCCTGAAAGAATGAGTCAAAGAGAATTAGACATAACCAGCCCATCTTTACCCTTTTCAAAAGTTTAAGTATCTATATATTCTAGTCCTATAAAACCGGTCCTGATCCAGAAGTTGATTAAAAACCAATTCTCTGAATGAGACAATGATGGGTCTCATTCTCCTAACCCTGAAAGAGCCTTGAATATGGCACTTTTTAAAATCTCAGGGCTAGGACGAAAGAGACGTTACTGGTGCCTGCTCGAGGCAATCGACGAACAACAGGATGATCGTGATCATGATCATGATCTCTGCTAGTAAGCAACAATACTATTATTTATCTCTACCTTAACCCTCTAGAATATACAACATCCTAATAAAAGTAATTTAGAGATAAAAATTGGCTGCAATAATAATCATATTGAGAACATTGCATTCTCTTGTAAAATAATTTTAAAAGATCATTAATTCAAAGAATAGAATGATACAGGAAAAATTAAGCCTATCAGTATCTAACACATATTCATCAAAGAGTTTCAATTATCACTTGATTTGGCTTGCTCTGAAAATTAGTATTCAAAATCTTTACAAAGAAGATTATTGGGGGTAGAGAAATAGTATACTGGGTAAGGCACCTGCCTTTCATTAAGGTGAACCAGTTCAATCCCAGCACCACATATGGTTCCCTAAGCACTGCTAAGAAGTGATCCCTGAGCAGAGCCAAGAGTAAGCCCTGAGGATCACTCTGTGTGGTCCAAAAATCAAAACAAAAATATTGACTATCAGCAGAAGATTTTAATTGTAGGCTGTATGAAGTCACAGATGGAAAGCTTTTAGAAAGCAAAAACATTAACAATAAAACATCTGAAATAAGTATGGAACGCATCTTGTTTTCTGGGTCTTCCAAGCCATGCGCAGGAGGCCAAAAGGCCACACCCATGAATTCTCAACCAATGAAGCTGGAGGTTCAATGTGAGGTCCTGAGGATGCACAGTGCTTTTTGGATTGTGATTGCCAGGGGTTACATGACACATACTAGTCACATTTAGTGGTATTTAGGGGCCCTATAGGCAAAGACCAAGTGGTGTAGGGAACCGAAGCAAGGTCAGCCATAAGCTAAGCATGCACCTTTCTATCATAGGACCATCCTATCCAGCACCCAGAACACATCTATAATAGGAAAACAAAATTTCTAACTTTAGCAAAATTTTGAAGCAGAAAACTTAGTATAATGAAAAAGAGATCACATTATCACCAAATTCATATTACTGCTGACCTGTGAGTGAAGACACTTTCGCAGCAACTTTTTCCGCAAAGCCAATTCTAGTATTTAAACCAGTACCAACAGCAGTGCCTCCAGCTGCAAGCTCATAGATTCTTGGCATAGCAGCTTTAATTCTTGTCATTGCATATTTCACTTGTTGAACATAACCACTAAATTCCTGGAGAGAAAAAAATATTAAGGTGAGAATATAAAAAATTCATAATGGCTTACAAGCTACTCTAATTGCATTAAGTAGTTTTGATTAAATAATTCAGGTAATAAGTTATAAACTATCCAATTGGTATTTATACTACTTTAATCAACATGACAAGAAAAGTATAGAAAAGAGGATTTATAAACATCAGCTAAAACACTGCCCCTGACAATGTGTACCATTTTTTGTAATACCTTAAAAAAAAAAAAAACAGGAAATATACTTCTTATGTGAATTACTTTGTACATTAAATTACTGGTTTACTGAAAGTAACTGTTTAGTGAATCCCAAACTTGAGAAAAATATACAAAAACCTCTCTTTTAAAAAAATGCAACATTGGGGCAGGACAGGAGTGATAGTATAGTGGGCAGGGCATTTGCCTTGCATGTGGTCGACCCAGTTTCAATTCCTAGCATCCCATATGGTCCTCTGAATACCACCAAGTCACCAGGAATAATTCCTGAGTGCAAAGTCAGGAGTAACCCCTGTGCATTGCCGGGGATGACCCAAAGAGCCAAAAAATAAAAAAATTAAAAATGCTATACATACATTATTTACAGGGAATATACAATAATTACAGGCACCACAGCAGCTGGTGACTCACTGAATTGCAAAACAATAGGGCAGATGCAGAGTGAGACTATAGCTTCGCGATGTATTTTATTTGGGGAACTTCCCAAACAGCACAAATGGGGTTTAAGGGTTTCTTCTCACTCTGTACTCCTGTGCAGGCCTAATGGTTCAGCGATTGCCTCAATAATGCAGAATTGTTTGAGCCCCACAGTGCAGACTACCAGGGCCACTCAACTGGGGCCACACAGTGCAGAGAATCAAATTCAACACCTAGAAACATACAAGATAGTTGCTATAGACCCTTTGCGCTACCTCCTAGGCCCCGAAATATATATTTTAATTGTTATTAATGTTTTAAAAAACAAGACACAATTATTTTTTTTTTAAAAAATGTATCTCCTTAAAAATTGCACATGCAGGGGCCAGAGCAATAACATAGAGGATAGGGTGCTTGCCTTGTAAAACGCAAACCACAGTTCAGTCCCCAGCATCCCATATGGTCCCCTGAAACCTGTCAGAAGTGATCCCTCAGTCGAGCCAGAAGTAATCCCTGAGCAAACCTGGTTGTGGACCCAAAACTCTACCTACCTACCTACCTACCTACCTACCTATCTATCTATCTATCTATCTATCTATGGTTCAAAAAAGAGGGAAAGGGAAATGATCAAGCTTTTCTCAGTGTTTCCTATTATCAGAACAAAAATAAAATAGACTATATAGCAGTACAATTTTTCCTCTCACCTAAATTTCTACAAACCTATTTCTGAAAACTTTCATTTTATAATTGGTATACATCACCACCTATTGATAATTTGCTTATAGCACAGCGGTAGGGTGTTTGCCTTGCACACGGTCAACTTGGCCGACTTGAGTTCGATTCCTCCGCCCCTCTAGGAAAGTCCGGCAAGCTACAGAGAGTATCTCGCCCACACGGCAAAGCCTGGCAAGCTATCCATGACGTATTCAATATGCCAAACACAGTAACAAGTCTCACAACAGAGACATTACTAGGCCCGCTCGAGCAAATGGATGAACAACGGGAGGACAGTGCTACAGTGCTACAGTCCTACATCCCAACTGGTGTGAGTTTAAGTCTAAAACTATCACTCTATTTTCTTATATTCATAGCACAATGCATATTAGTAGATTCATTTGACAGAATAAGTAAAAATAGCAAAATAATTTTTGGTACTCTTGAAAAAAAAAAAGTAACACCTCTTCCAGGGCCAAACCAATTTTGATGAGTAAGCTATACCTCATTTGATCACTTCAAAAATAATTTTTAAAGAATCTACTTATGCAGTAGATTCTTTAAATCTACTGGGGCTGGAGCGATAGCACAGCAGTAGGGCATGCGCCTTACACGCGGCCAACATGGCCGACCCGAGTTCGATTCCTCCGCCCCTCTCGGAGAGCCCGGCAAGCTACCGAGAGTATTCGATATGCCAGACGCAGTAACAACAAAGTCTCCAATGGAGACGTTACTGGGCCCGCTCGAGCAAATCGACGATCAACGGGAGGGCCTTTACCTTTACCTTTACCTTTACTTATACAGTAAGATAAGGAAACTAAGAAAGAAATTACTATGATATAAAGAATGATAATGACAGTTAACACCAACAGGAATGGCTTAAAGCATTTTATGTAAATCAGCATGTTTAAACCTCACAATTTATGAGACAAATAATTTTCCCAATTTTACAGTTCAAAAACTGAGGTACAGAACCAGAGAAATAATAAACAGATTAAGTTACTTTCCTTGCATTCAGTCAACCCTTGCTTAATTCCTGACACCACAGTCCCCCGAGCATCTCCAGGAGCAACCTCTAAGCTTAGAGTGAGGAGTAACTCCAGAGCACAGCCAGGTGTGACCCCAAAACCACACACACACACACACACACACACACACACACAAATCTAGCCAAAGCAATAAAAACTAAAAACTGAGATAATAAAGGAAGGCTGCGTAATTTTCCAACGGCCCCACAATTTGTACAAAGCAAAACTAAGACTTAAAACTGAGAAGAGAGACTCAAGCATGTTCTATACTCATTACCAGCTTGTTCTATACAATTTTTAATCAACAAAAATTCCTAGTCCATTAATGCAGAACAATCAGTCACTGACTAAATTGGCATGGTCTTTTATTTATATTGGTTTTAGGGGCCACACCTGACTGTGCTCATGGCTTATTCCTGGCTCTGTGCTCACAGTCACTCCCGTTAAGTGTTCAATGAACCATATGTAGTGTCAGGAATCAAATCTGGGATTGATTGCTGGCAAGGCAAGTACCTGTTCTATATCTCTCTAGGCCTAACCTGGTCTTTTAAACCAGTGTGATTTAGAGAGAAATATGTTAGCTATTGGAGGCTTTGTTGTTACTGTGTCTGGCATATCGAATACTCTCGGTAGCTTGCCGGGCTCTCCGAGAGGGGCGGCTATGTGTACCAACCTCCAGAATGAACTGAATATAATCCCATTATACCTGGCCAAGAGTAAGAGGAACAGCATCCTGTGTGTGAGTACGCCCAATTTTGATGATCTGGGAAAACTCTTTAGATTTTGCATCAAGAGCATCTTGTAGCTTCTGCAGTCCTGGTAGCAGTACTTCGTGAACTTCTATTGCAGCAGCAATGTGCATTGCTGTGGGGAACGTATCATTTGAGCTCTGTTGGAAAATTTACAAAAGAAATCTAAATCACATAATAAAACTCAAGTTTGAATGCTATAATTAAAAAGTTACTGAATGACTACTTAAAACTTAGAATGCATAATTCCAATAGATGGCTTTGGATCAAATAAGAGATCACATGAAGGGAACATTCCCAGAAATATATTATATACACCCACTATACTCAATGCATAATATATATACACCCATTTAAAAGTGATAGTAAGACAGAGAAGTACATTTAACAGCTAGATGAAATAAGAATGATAATAAAATCTCTTAACACAGTGTTGCACAGTCTTTCACAAACGTTTCTTCATTTAAAATTTTAGGAAAGTTCTATGAGGCAAATCACCACTATGAGAATAAGAAAAAGCAGCAAAAAAAAAAGAGAGAAAAGAATGTGATATGTTAAAATGTCACTGGCAAACTGGAACCTAAACAAGGTAGTTTAAATTCTGCATACTCTTTGTTAAACTCTAACTCCATAGCTTTAAAAAAGATTAAAAAAAAAAAATTGGGAGCCGGGGCAAAAGTACAATGGGTAGAGCATTTGCCTTGCATATGACTGACCAGCCTTGCATATGACTGACCAGGTTTTAAACCCTGCATCCCATAAGTTCCCGTGAGCACTTCCAGGAGTAACTCCTGAGCACTGCCAGGTGTGACCCCACCAAACCCTCCCCCCCAAAAAAAATTGGTTGGGGGGAGGAATTTTGGGCTATACCTGGTAGTGGTCAGGGGCTACTCCCTAGTAGGTTGCTACCAGCAGTGCCCAGGAACAAGGCAGTTACAAGGAGTAAAGCAAAAACACAAGCCCTTTGGGCCAGTCCTTCAATTATTTTTAACAAATTGTTTTTTATTTTATTAAAGATTTACTATGTAAATATCAAACCACTTTAAAAGAGTAGAATAAATGGTATTCTAAAAATGAATTTATCTCCTAAATTCAAAGGTTACCAGTATATGTTAGAAAATATTATTTCATCAGTAACTTCACCTGACCATGAGTTATTTCTGAAAACAGATTTTAAGACTTCAATATAAATCAACTAATATTCAAAGGCATGTGTTAGGTTTGAAAATTTCCTCAGACAATAAACTCATGGAAAAAAAATCCCCTTTAATACTTAATATATTAGACTATATTTCGCAAAAAGATTTTGGTTCCAGTAAGAATCTCATATGAGTTTCTTGGGAAAATGTATGGAAATACAGGATGATGAGTTTTGAACTTTGCTCAAGAAAAAATGTTTTTCAATGAATATTTCATTTCCAAAAGATATGAGCCAACAGCTACAGTTCCCAAAATTGGATAAACCTGAACAATGATAAAAATAACACACACACTGGACCTTAAGACAAAATAAGGGGTTGGAAAAAATAGCACAGCAAGTAGGGCATTTGCCTTGCACACGACTAACCCAGGTTCGATTCCCAGCATCCCATATGGTCTCTCAAGCACCACCAGGGATAATTCCTGAGTGCAGAGCCAGGAGTAACCCCTGTGTATTGCTGGGTGTGACCCCAAAATCAAGAATAATAATAATAATAAAATAAATATGCATGAACCTATACCAATATACACAAAAGATTGAAAAAATAAGTAAATATGGATGAGGGTAGAGATGTACATTTTCTTTTCAAAAAAATTCAATTAAAAAACATAGTGGAATACAGAGAATAGACAATCTAATACCAAAATATTAGTAACTGTTTAAGAGCTACTAGTGAGAGCAAAAAGTTGTAGTAAAAGTTGAAGGAGAGAGAGGATATATGCAGAACCAAAATTTCTCTACTAATTATTGCGGCATTATAAACACAGATCTAAAATAACCTGAATACTCTTCTCTCAGAAGTGAGTCTTTGTAAAATCCCTAATACTGGAAGGACTTAGTGACTTCACTTCTTGTAGAGAATGGGAGAGGAAAAACATGTAACTTTACTCACGGAATGGGGGATGGGCGACCTTCCCCCCTTCCCCGGTTCTTCCAGGAGCCTAGCAGTCAAGCCCATGAACTGCCTCTGGACTCATAGAAGATCATTTACTGGCCATGATCCAGAGACATAAATAAATCTCTAAATAGATCAGCAAGAGGCAAAGATGCTTCTGGACCTCAAAGTCACCATCCAGTTAAAAATTTAACTCCAGCTCTATCACCCCACCGAAATTTTAGAATTACTGGAGCGGCGTGCCAACGTGTGCATACTCCACCACTCATATACCAGGAGTAGCACACAACACTGGGTGGGATATAAAGTAGAAAGCAACCAATCTTGATTAAGAAAATATTTACACACAGGGCTTAACCTGTAACAACATGTTAGTAATCTCTTATACAAAAGCTTAATGGCTCCAGGGTGAGATACAACAATCTTCACACACTTTCTTCTAAGAAAATCTTCTTGGATCATTTTTTAGCAAATTAATCATAACAAGCAATATGAAGTAAATCATTTAGGGCTTGCTATTGGGGCAGGCTTGGATTGTGGTTGGGAAAATTGGAAATAACGATGGGGAGAAGGTATAATGGTGATGGGACTGGTGTTGGCATGTACTAAATTATTGTGAACAACTTTACAAAAATAAAATTAAATAAAAAAAGAAAACTGATAACTTTAAAACAGACACTTGGCAGAAACAATCTTAACTAAGTGACTAATATCATGAGTATCAAATCATGTCACAAAATCACTGTATCATTGTCACCCTGTTGTTGATCGATTTCCTCGAGCACCAGTAACGTCTCCATTCGTCCTACCCCTGAGATTTTAGCAAGTGCCACATTGGAGGCTCCTTCAGGGTCAGGGGAATGAGACCCATTATTGTGACTAGGTTTTGGCATATTAAATATGCCTTGGGGAGCTTGCCAGACTCTCCCCTGCGGGCAGGATACACTGGGTAGCCTGTAGGGTTCTCCAAGAGTGAGAACTAGACAATAACAGGTCGCATGGCAGCATTCTGGAAGCTGGGTTTTATAGTCCCTGGGTCTTGGCTGTTGACGGGATAACACGGCGCTGAGGCATTTGGTGGGTGTAAGGCCTAACTACTGGAAGACGGGGGATCTGGGACCAGTCCTCATCTGAGCAGGCTTGAAGACCTCAGCCCCAGGTCCCGCATACCTGGGCTCCTCTACCGGTTCTTTCATGCGTGAGGCTCGTACAAACGTGTGGAGAGTGGTCTTAAGTATGGCTGTGACTGGTTCTGGAGGTTTTCAGCTGCCAAGGTTCTGCTCGGGGCGGGGAGGGAAACAACCCACCCCATTCCAAGAGGCCCTGGTGAGGACAGCCAGGCGTGGGGGCAGGAGACTCTGCGCTGTTCTCTTCAGGGAGCTGGGGTTCTATAGTCCCTGGGTCTTGGCCGTTGATGTCACAAAATACCTGATACAATACCTGACAGAAGAGTTTTTTACGTGTCTAATAGTTTCCCCCTATATTCAAGTCTCTGTTTAATCATAAGAAAACATCAGAAAAACCCAATTTCTTGAAGAAGTAACAGTCCACGTTCCAAGATTATGTAAAATGTTTTACATTAAAAAAGGTTGGGTGCAGGTGTAACTGAGGTATAATTTTTATAAGTTTCAAAATAGTTCCCAAAAATCCAACTAATAAAAATATACTTACAAACTTAATTCAGGTGATTTTTAAGATCTAGATCCAAGATTCCAAAAAGAATATTGGAAACATGTGAGAACTCCTTTCTTACATGTTTCCTACATGTACTCCTACCCCTAACAAACTATCAATGACTATTTTACAAAAAGATTCCAATGTATTCTTTTCAACTAATAAGAAAGAGATTGTACACTGACCTGGCTTTTATTAACATGATCATTGGGATGCACGGGGTTCTTGCTGCCAAGTTCGCCTCCTAGTATTTCAATTGCTCTATTGCTAATAACTTCATTTACATTCATATTGGTCTGGGTTCCTGATCCAGTCTGCCACACCACAAGAGGAAAATGATCATTCAATTTACCCCCAGCTACCTGCAAGGGAAAAAAAAATCAGAAATGAATTTCTTTAATGCAACAAATATTCACTATTTAATTTGGTTATTTTAGGAACTATGCTAAAGGACCAATTTGTAGTGCTATTTTTTAATTTTTTTTTTCACAAGTAATGCCATTCATTGATGATACCAAATAATTTGTGACTCTCCTGGGAGTCTGTCTGTAATACCATTTTGTTCCACCTACTACTGCTTTACAAAGTAGATTATCTAGAACAAATGGTCTAAATAATTTCACTTATTTAAAATGAGAACTGAATCTAAGGGGTTTTTTCCCCTCTATTTTTCAACTGTCTTCTCTAATTTTATCCAGACAGAGCCACTTGTTAAGGCTGGTGAATGTCTTGAGTTTTCAGATATATTTTACATTGGTGCTCAGTGGGAAAGCAGGATGTTACCTAAGTCTAAGTAGGATGATAATAAACTAATGACATTGCAGTGTGAATTCACTAACAGCTATTCCATCACAGAGATGTCCAATTGCCAACGATAAAGGCAACAAGGTTGTCGTATTCTTTTACTTTCAGTTAATACATTAGTTTTTGAATTGTGTGAGACTTCTCAGAAAATGGTTTAAATCCATCTTCTAAAATTATTTTAACTTACAAACTAAAATAAGAATGCACCTTACTGAAATCTATTACCTTAAATAACCGGCTCACTTTAAAACTTCCAATAAAAAACATAAATAAATGTAGAAAATCTAATGAAATAAATGATACTAGCCATCATATTTCTAGCATTCAAAAACAATTAGCTTTTCAGAATTTTGACATTTCCTTCAGTCTCTCTTCTGATTAAAGTATGCATGTAATGATAGAAAAAATACATGTTTCCTGTTCATTTTATAACTCAAAGATTAAAAAAAATACATTTTGCTTACCTTTCTCCCATACCTCATACCCCTAAACCCCTTATATATATTATATATATATCAATCATATCTCATATCCTACATCTCCTACCTCATCTGCTGCCTTCATTATTGCATTGGCAATTTTTGGATCAAGACCATAATCCTGGTTTACTTCAGCAGCCGCTCGCTTCAAGATGCCAAAAGCTTTAATAACTGGTATCTAAAATTAATCATAAAAATATCTCAAATGTATAATAAGTATGAAAGCTTATTTGATGACGCTACAAAAATTGCACACAAAACACTAACAAACACTACAGTGCTAAATATTTAGGATGTAGAGCAAGAATAGAAATAGGTCAATAATGAACCAAGAATCATCATGTACTTAAGAACCAAAATAAAACCAAATACAATGACAGCATTTGATAAATATATATACATATGTATATGAGTATGTGCTTCACTGCTTCACACACGCACATTCAAACATACCCTACTATTCATCGTATTTTATTAATAATTATGTGGTTATTTCATATTTGTAACATATTTAATCACCAATTAGCATAAAATAAGCAGTTATAAAACAAAAACATGACATTCTACCTAGTCAGTGAAATTTTAATACTAAGTCACTAGAAATTTCCCTAAGAATATGTATTTTATACAGATTGATAGATTGAGTAAGAGCTTTGTAGAATGCATGGGATAAACCCAGGGTCTCATACATGTAGACCTCTAAACCATTCAGCTACCTCTATCCACTTTCCAGGAACTAAGAATTAATTTAATTTCAGTTTAGTTGTTTGAGTTACACCTGGTGGTGTTCCTGTGTCGCTCTGGCAAGTATTTGGAGAACCAAGTTCTGTCAGTGTTTGGGATTGACTGATCTTGAGCCTCCTACATGCAATGCATACAGACAACTATTCAGCTATCTCTCTGGCCTCTAGCTTTTTTAATCCTGGGTTTCTTCTGATTTAAAATTGGTAAATAGAATTATGTTCCAAGTCATTTTAATTTTAATTTCTTTTCACTTTCAACTCCAAATCACATTACTGTATTTAAAAGTCTAACTTTTGATATTTTACTGAAACGATACCTGGTTTTTGGGGTTTTTTACAAAGCTTTTATGTTTGATATTCAGCTAACAACGATCGTTACCCATCCTTCCATCAGTGCAAACTTTCCACCACCAATATCCCTCTTATCCCCTCCATTTCATATCGCTTCATGAATTTGCGTGTTATCCTTGCACAGGGGCCATGCTAATATTCTCTGTATCATTCCAATTTTAGTATATGTGCTGCCAAAGCAAGCACGATACCTGGTTTTTTTTACATAAATTATGTGTTCTTGTCAAAATTAAAAAAGTCAAATTGTGGTACAGAATCGAAACTATAGATCCAATAACAAACTTATTAAAGGAAAAGAATTATCTTAAAGGGTGCATATCCAAAATATATAATGTACTCAACAAAAAGATAAAATCTGATTTTATTTATTTTTTTTATGTGCTAGACTTTTATTTGTAGGACCTAAAGCAGGGAAGAAGAAAAACTGTACTGCTGCCTTCTGTGGAGCTGACAATGGACAAAAATCCATTTAATATATTGTCTTTGGATAGATGATGTATCGGATATCAAACTGATAAGAACAGATAGTAAACTTGTAAAATCTGATTTTAAAATAGGCATAGACTCTGAACAAACTTTTCACCAAAGATCTACAGAGATGGCTGTAGATACAAAAATAGATTTTCATTATCACTTATTATGGAAATACAAATCAAAATCACAATGAGATACCACCTCACAACTCTTAGAATATCTATTTTGACAAAGATAAAAAAAACAAGTGTTCATGAGAATGTGGTGAAAAGAAAAGTTTAATACACAGTTGGTGGGAAAGTAAATTGTTCCAACCATTTTGGAAAAGAGAATAGATTTCTAAAAGTTTAAGATTGGAAATATCATGATACAGCTAACCCAATTCTGGGCTTTATCCACAAAATATAAAAACACTAATTTAAAAAAGATATAGGTACATACCTATCTTCTCTGAAGCATTATTTATAATAATCAAGATATAGAAAAAGCCTGTTTATCAACAAATGAATGGATTAAAATGTGGTGCATATTCACAATACGCTACTACTCATTCGATTATTATAGCACTGCCCTCCCATTGTTCATCAATTTGTTCGAGTGGGCACAAGTAATGTATCCATTGTGAATCTTGTTACTGTTTCTGGCATAACGAATACATCACGGTTAGCTTGCCAGGCTTTTGCCATGCGGGCGCGATACTCTCGGTAGCTTGCCAGGCTCTCCGAGAGGGGCGGAGGAGTCAAACTGGTGTTAGCCGGTACAAGGCAAGCACCTTCCCACTGTGCTATCACTCCAAAAAAAGAAATCTTGCCAGTCCCAATAACATGGAAGGACCCTGAGAGACTATGCCAAGTGAAATATGTCAAAAGAAAAAAAGAAAAACACCAAATTTCACTCATTTGTGGAGTAAGAAGAAAGAGCAAATGAACACAAAACAAACTTTCTGATCTAGAGGTTAAAAGAGGGTGAGTTGGTAGTCTATGGAAACTAGACTTTGGTGATAATCATGACACAGAGTGAGTATACAGGGATCAAATCATAATAGTGTACATTTGAAATACACAATGCAACAAACCAATATTCCTTGACCGCACAGCCACATTTGCGGCCAGTTGCATGACATCTGATACCAGTTGCATGACATCTGATACTTTACAGCATTGATAATACCCCAAGAGCAGCATACCACATTTGATGGGGCTTAAAGCAGAAGGCAACCAATCTTAGGAGTAAATATATATATATATTTAAATGTCTACATTATATAGAAGGAAATATATATATATTATATATAAAATATATATATATATACTTTATATATTTTATATAAGCACACAAGGCTCAATCTAACAATGTTGCTAGTCTCTTCTATAAGCGCTTAATGGCTCCTGGGTGAAAAACAACAATCTTCACACACTTTCCTCACGAAAACTTTTTTGGATCATTTTTAGCAGATTATTCATAACAAGCAATACAAAATAAATTACTATGGTTCTATTTGGGGGCAGGGTTTGGGGTTTGGGATAAAAAACATTTTTAATATGGTGGTGGGAAGGTGTAATGTGGTAGAATTGGTGTTTGAATATTAAATGCAATCAATTATTATGAACAACCTTATAAATATAACATAAAATTTAAAAAAGAGATTCAGGCTTGAAGACTCAGAATTAAACTATAAAGTTATAATCATCATAAAATTACAGTATATGTACATAACTATTAAAAGTATCTCACCAGATGAAGCCTGGCTACTTCTAGGCTTACTAGCCTATCCTGTATTCCTGCATGATTATTTCTTATATTCCAGTTGGACCTCAATAGGTTATGTTATACATTTCATCCTTTCCACACTTAACTCTGAAATCAAGATGCGTGATAAAATCAGTGACATGTAACAATTTTTTGGCAATCTGTCTCTTAATGGTACATGTCACTGCATCTTCTAATTAATGACATCCAAGTCCAGTTACAAAATTTTTAAATTATGGGGCCAGAAGGAAGCATAGTGAATTGGGCACTGGCCTTTTAGGTAGCCAACCTGGGTTTCATCCCCAGCACCCCATTATGGTCCCCAAGCCCCACCAGGAGTGATACCTCAGCACAGAGCCAGGAGTAAGCCCTGAGTACTATCGGATGTGGCCCAGAAACAAATTTTACTTTTTTCCAAATTATGTTTCACATGACACTGAACCTATATTTACTAACAGAATACACACACGTGTATGTGTGTATATATATACACACGTATATAGACAGTAAATCCATTAGATCGTAAATACATATGATAAACATATATGACAATTAGTTTTTTATAAACATATATAAAAAACATTTTTATTTGCATGTACTCTCTAAGAACTGAAATCACGACAAAGTATATTAAAGTATTTTACTCAAAATTCATCTTAAAAATTAATTTCAAATTAGTACAAAATATTTTTGAAATACTGAAATTAAAAATGTTTACAAGCTAAAAAATCCCAACAAAAACAAGAGGATTCTATTAAATAAAATTTCTATTAAATAAAAATTCACAATATTCTGTTACAGCTCAAAATAGGATTAAAAACTTCAGAATTTTGACATTTTAAGGAAAAGAAGCACCTATTTTTATTCAGTTAGTTCTCTAGTAACTTTAAATTTTAACTTATAAAAATATTTTATTTAGAAAGTGACCCATCTGAATAAAGCCTTACTTATCCAAAATAAGCAAATATTTTTACAATAGGCACTCACTGGCATGCGTTCTGTCACACCTCCAATCTTAAAGTTCATTGTAGATCTCACAGTCTGAGCACCATAATACTTATCATTAGGGACCTTGAGTTCCCCAAAAGTATCATATTCTATCCGGTAGGATTCTTGGCTCGCCTAAAAATAAAGATAAGAATCTGTTACAATTTGAAAAGAAACCAGTATTAAAAGGAGTGATATCCTATCAGCTATGAGAAGAAGAAAGATACTTTTACTACATATGTACTACAATGAAAAAAATTTCAGCTTTGATTTTCATTTTATTCCCCACTTCTCAGTTCTATTTTAATACAATTAGTCACATTTAATGTCGATGTTAAAGATAGACCTTCGAATTTATACTACTGTACAATATGTGATCTACGTGTGAGATCTACATGTGATCTACAGAGTGCAATACAAAAAGTCCAGGTTTATAACCAGGGAGCCCATTATTTATCAGTTATGTCACCTTCAGTAAGTTTGCTCAGCTGTAGATGTGCAGACAAGTGGAGATGCACTAAATCTTGGGTAATACGAGGAAAGCTATAGCAACTTTCTCTACAAAATTGAATATACATACATACTTATATACATACATGTTAAATCTTATATATAGGCACCCCTTTTCTGTCAAATAAAAAGAGCTAAGAAACTGTAGCTTTTTGAATAAAGCTTGGTTACAGTGGTTATCATTATAGCATAGAGCACTAAAACTTGCTCTAGGAAATACCATGTAAGATCAGGAGCCATTAGCCTCAGGAAACTCAAGAATTGATGAGGTGGTTACAAAATATACCAGGCTGGAAAGATCAACAAGAAAACATGTGCATCCTGCACATACATTGGATGAGATTAACTAAACCACAGTATTAAATGAAAAAAAGGTACAATGTCTTCAGCTTCTCAGGCTGAGGGCTTAATATGCATTTCAGTATTCAAGAAAATTGTCTGAACAGCTAAAAATCCATAATTTTATTTCAATGTGTTTGGGATTTGTTTCAAAAAAAATCTGTTTGGGGGACTGGGGAAATAGCATAAAGGTCAAGGGTGCCAGTGTAAAAGTGATACATATTCCAGACTCCTTTTTAGATCCCCTCCCTGGCACACCTCGCACCACAAGACCAAGCCATGGTTCCCGAAAGACCACAAATGGAGGTCACCAAACACCAACCAGGAGGTCCTATTGTCCCCAGCACCCCTTAAGCTTCCCGCTGGCCTGCAGCTGGAAAAGATTAAAGTCCATCTGATCTTAAAACCACAGACTCTTAAAATGCTGGCAAATATATAATCAAGTTTATCACTATTACCGTATAACACATAGATGTTTCCACATTTTATAGTCATCATGAAGATCATTAAGGAAATACTGTAAAATATAAGATTTCCCTATCCACTACGCTAAGGAAGCATTCATTATGGTCTCCATTATATATACTCACTCTAGTGTTCTTGATAAAAGATTAACTGGGACATCTATGGTCATGAGAATTTCTCAACATTTGCAAAAGAAAGAAAACAACCTTTAATAAAATCAATACTGAGAGCTGGAGGCTGAGATGAGTGGGCTGGCAATACATTTAGAGATTTACAGAGAGGAAAATCTACCAGAATTCTACAAACAAGACTGTGCTATTTTTTAGTAACTGTGCCTTCAGATGACCAGTCTCCTATTTCCCTTCCCCAAATGCTAGGTAAGTAAACATGAATAATTTTCAAAGATTCTAAACAAACTCATAAATTTGGGCAGTGCCAGAATTACAAAAAATTCTCATTTTGTGACTTAAAAATTACAGTAAATAACCTTAACATCTAGAAAATGTTTTGAACTTTTGAAATTCTCTAGGAATATTTAATACTTAATACATACCAAACTTGTCCAAAGCGCTTTTATCATGTGCAATCTTGCTAAATTCTTTTCATTGTGTGTTTTTTTTTTTAATTTGTCACTTTAATGCAGAAACTAAGGCTCAGAAACAACGTGACCTAAGTTTCCACTATGGGTACACGGCAGCCTAGGGTTTGAAAGCATCTTTCTTATTGCCAAACTCGTTCTACATAGTGCACAGTGAACTTCTAACTTCCTAAACATTTCCCCCTCACATTACACGCGTGTAGACATGTGTATTTCATGCGTATCGAAACGGTGACAAGTGCACCTGGGCTTATCTAAGTCAGCAAGAACCTGAACTTTTACAAGTTCTAAAGGTCTTCTGTAATCTAAAGCACTGATGTTGCTCCTCGAACAAGCCTCAAGAATACGACTCGGGTTTACAAATCTCAGGATGTTTAAGCCGGATAAAGGAAACAATTTTGGCTGGATCACGTCTCTTTTTAAATTCGTAAGACCCTACCCCACCCCGCCCGGACCTAAGGGAGAGTCGGGCCACCGCAGAGGAGACCAGATGAGCAGTAGGGTGGTGCGCGGCGGGCCGGGGCCTCGGAGAGGCAGGGGCGGAAGCTACCGACCCGCAATCCGCCCCTCTAAGCGCCGGTCCGGGAAGCAGCATTGCCGAGTTCGGGTGTCCAAAAACGACCCTGTGACCGGGAAGGAGATGGCAGCAGGGGCCACAGAACCCTAGTCGCCAGCTGCAGTCCCAGGCCAAGAGCACAGTAAAGAGGGGGTGGCTCCATCCCAGAAAAGGAGGAGGCGGCCCAGGGAAACCCACAATGTGGGAGACGGCGCTGGGCCCAGCACCCGGCCGGGCCAGACCTCTGGGGAATCCCTCCCCGCCAGCCAGCGGGCGTCCGAACGAGCGAGCAAAGGGCTGAAGGTCACCGCGACGAGGCCCGAGGACAGGTCCCTTGCTCACCATTCCAGCTGAGTTCGGGGGCCGGAACAAGAAGGACGCCCTGCCACCGAGGTCCAGAGCTGAGCCTGAGGCAGGAGCGGAGGCTAGAGCTCGCGAGAGCCGTCTCGAGCGCGCGAGGAGCCGGAGTGCGAGATACATGGTGCCGTGGGATCCTGGGTACACTATCTGGGAGGCTGTGACCACGCCTCCGAGCCGGAGGTCGGAGCCCGTCCCGCCCACCGAGCAGCTGCTCCCACCCAATCATCAGCCTCATACCCGCATGTGGGGCGGGACCAATAGTGAAAGGCCAGTAAAGAGTTAAGGGGCGGATCTAGCGCCCTTGTTGGAGCTCGGTTATTTGAAGCCTCGCCTTTCATAAAGTATTAAAATAGAGAGAGGGGAATTATGGGAAAGGAAGTTCTGGGCTTTCTTTAAGCGATTTGGGTTGCTGTGTGTCGGTCAGAGGTCGGCTTAATAGTGGTGAAATAATCTAGAATTTTTTTTAACTTATTATGAAACAGCTCAAACATATTCCATGGTAATTTTATTTTTCATTTCTTCCGTATTACATCTTACATATGGAAATATTTGGAAAACAAAGTATGTACGGAAAATGAAATAATTTGAAATAATTGTTTATAATGACAATTAAAACTCTTTTAGCGTGTCGTTTAAAGGATTCTACCATTCCTTTCCTAGTTAAATAGGAGTGAAAACTCTAAATGACTGCTCTTTTATTATTTATTTGTGTCTTGGCTCTGTGCATTGGTAATACATTTTTTTTTAAATTTGAGACATACTATTTTTAATAAAATAGCTGATGGCAAAAAGCATGAATTCACACACAATTGTACCTCATAAATAAGTCTTTTTCTCATTTCTTTTTCCATTGCGTGAAACCAAGTGACAGTTCATCACAGAAAAAGAACTTTTGGATGATATTTAGAAGTCAAAAGTCCAGAACTTTGTAAGGGTTTGTCTCTGTCAAACTTTTTCATAGCAGTGTTTGTTATGGCTTCGAATTTAGCCCATTAATAATTAAAATATGGAAATTTTAATTATAGAACATAACTGACTATAGTCAAAATATTCCAGAATAGCCAACCAAACACTTTATACTGATTCTCTCCTCTCTAGAGTTAATTGGTTGATGAATCAGAAATTAAGAAATTTTTATAAGCAAGAGAATAAGAAAACATTGACAGCACAGGGTTTATGGTATTTTTCTTGAATGCAGCCTAGCCAGTTCAATCCCTGGAAATTTATATGCTTTAAAAATGGACTGTGAGTCACTCCAGAGCACTGCTACGGTGGATTAGAAACTAAATAATAGTAACAAAAATGTAGACATCTGCACTCCAATGTGCATTGCAGCATTATTCACAATAACCAGAATCTGGAAACAACACAAATGTTAGAGAAGAGATGATTGGATAAAGAGACAGTGGTACAAATACAAAATGTATATTATTTATACAGTACATATACTCAGCCATAAGAAAAGATGAGATCATGCAATTTGCTGCATGTGGATGGATCTAGAGAGTACTATGCTGAGTGAAGTTAGAGAAGAACCAATACAGAATGAACTCATTAAGATCCGGGATATACAGAAACATAGGGAAGAATAAATGCCCAAAGACAATAGAAATAAAGAGGAGAATCAGTCTTCAGTAGAAATTTGCCACTTTGAAGAGTAGGCTGGGAAATAAACAAGGGCAAAGAACACTGTGACAATGGTGGGGGAAAGAGTCATTCTGGAGGGTACTAAGAGGTGGTGAAGTGGGAGGCATGAAACTCTATCCTAAACAATAGTGTAGACCAAGCACCTGAAATATACAATCAAAGTATCTTTCATAGAGGCAGGCTAGAGGCCAGGAAGGAAGGGGAATTTGGCACACTGGTGGAAGGCAGGACACTGGTAAAGGGTTTATGGTGGAACACCGTATGTCTGAAACCCAAACATAAATAACTTTGTCATTCATGGTGACTAAACAAAATGATAATAAAATCTTAATAAGTAGATCTTTTTATTTTAGGTGTGAGTATATATTAAACATCTTTGTAACTCTTGCTATGCCCTCCTATAAAGAAATAAAAAGAAACCTTGAGGAGAGGAGGATGGAGAGAGAATACAGCAAGTAGGACTCTTGCCTTGCATACAGCAGATCTGGGTTCGATTTCCAGCACTGCATATGGTCTTCAAAGTCCATCAGAAATAATTCTTGAGTGCAGAGCCAGGAATAACCTCTGAGCATACCAGATGTAATCCAAAAACCAAAAGAATTTTTTTAAATTAATTTAAGATGAAAAAAAATAGAAAAAAGAGAAACCTTTGGCTAAAGTTAATTTAGGTACAGTATTTAGCTTCAATTAGTATTACTTAATATTATTTAGTTTCAATTTATTAATAAAATTGATCTGTAGCAGGGTGTAAAGTTTCATTTTCATTTAAGTAAAATGTACATCAATTTGAAACAAAATATTAAGTATATTGTGAAAGTGCTATACAAATGATTGAAATGTGAGAATCATTGTCTTAGTTTAATTTTGTTATTTCATAATGAAAACTTATTTAAAGTATTTAAATGAATGGCTTACACTATAAATCTAAATGGCTGACAAATATTTTTTCACTTTAAAATATGATATTTTATCTATGCAAAATAATTTCTTAAACTTTTACTTAGAAGAACCGAAGAGTTAGCTCAGAGGGCTGGAGAATATGCCCTGCATGTGTGAAACCTGGGTTAGAACCCCAATTCACATGGTCCTCTGAGCACTTGTAGGAGCAAGCACAAACCGGGAGCAGCTCCTAAACACCACTGGGTGTGGTCCTCCAGACAAAAACGTTTTCACTTGATCACTTAACTTCCCCTTAATCGCCGATTTGCTTGAGCGGGCGCCAGTAACGTCTCCATTTGTCCCTGCCGCATGCTAGTGTAGTCCAATGGCGTCTGTTCGCTCCGGGAACACGAAGAGCCTCAAACTGATCGTTCATGATCTTGATGAAGAAGTTTGACCATCTGGTAGGTAGATGGCCACGCGGTCTTTTGACATCCCGTGGAATCCAGTCGGAAACAGCTCTAGTCCAGCGGTCGTCTTTAAATCTCATTGCGTGACCAGCCCATCTGATTTTTGACACCTTGGCAAACGAGACAGCATCCCTGATTCTTGATTGTCGACAGAGGTCGGAACTCCGGATTCTTTCTCTCATTTGAGTGAAACGTGATATTCCAAGCATAGCTCTTTCAATTCCTCTTTGAGAGACCCGAATAGTGTTCTCATCCTGTTTGCGTAGGGCCCAGGTCTCTGAGGTGTATGTTAATGCAGGAAGAACAGTGGAATCAAAGAGATGTGCCCGGTGCCGGAGGTTCTTCGTCCTCTTAGCTATTTCTTTGACGTTCTTGAAGGTGTTCCAAGCCACTCTCTTCCTCCTGCGCAGTTTGGGTGCCAGGTCATTTGTCATGTTGACTTCTCAACCTAGGTACACATAACTGTTGCATTCGGAGATGGTCATTCCATTGAGAGAGAATGGAGCGTCAGGAACGAGGCTATTTCTCATAAACGTTGACTTTGTAAGATTCAGCTCTAGTCCGACCTTTCCACACTCACGGTCGAAGTCGACCAGCATTTGTGCCGCTTGGCTAATGTTTGGTGTTATTAAAACAATGTCATCAGCAAAGCGGGGGTGGTGTAGTTGCCAACCATCTATCTTCACTCCCATTCCTTCTCATTCCGGTCATCACATTTTGTTCTTGAGGGTGGCACTGAAGACTTTTGGTGAAATGGTATCACCCTGACGAACCCCTCTCTTGACATTGATGATTAGTTCTTTGTAGAATGGTGAGATCCTGGTAGTGAATCTGTAATACAGCTCACGTAGGATTCTGATGTATTCAGTTTGAATGCCCTGATTGGCTAGGGCTTCAATGACCGCTTCCGTCTCAACAGAATCAAAGGCCTTCTTTAAATCAATGAACTCTGAGACCTTGGACTCCAGGCTCAACGGACCAAGGACACCTGTCAAACGGTAACGCAGGTGTCCTAAGGCGAGCTCAGGGAGGACAGAAACCTCCCGTGGAGCAGAAGGGCAAAAGCTCAGTTGATCTTGATTTTCAGTATGAATACAGACTGTGAAAGCGAGGCCTCATGATCCTTCTGACCTTTGGGGTTTTAAGCAGGAGGTGTCAGAAAAACATTTTACTTAACAATATTTTTTTTCACCTTGAATTTTGTGTGATGATCACATTGAGCTGTTTTCTTTTTATTTAGACTTATGTTACTTGTTCAAGTTTTACTTTGCTTTCTGTTCAACCAATGGGACTCAATGTCCTGCCATAGAAGCCAAGTCAATGTGAAGGTTTTCTTTTTATTCTTTCATAAATCTCAACATATTTTTAAATTGAATTTATAATAAGTTTCAGTATTTATAAGTAAAATCAGTGTGGGAGTATGGTGCCGCCAGCAGGTCAATCTGTACCTGTGAGGCGAGTGCATCAGCAGCCTGATGGCACCTTCAGACTTCCAGATACCCCAAAATTGCTGCTGTGCCTTTGGCCAAACCCCAAAAACTTGGGACAAAATTTACCAAGAAAGTAAACGGCCAAAAGTTAAGTATGTAGGAGACACACCCACAAACCACCTCCAGCTCAGCTATATAATTGGAGACATGGCCTCTCTGGCTCCTGATCAAGCTACTTATCGACCATGATCCTAGAGACTCAGAAACAAATCTCAGAACCCAGTGGTTTTTGGCAGAAATGCATCCTGGCCCCACAGTAGGTTACTGTCGCCAGGCAACCCCAGGGTGGAAAGGGTGTTGTCCCTCTGCCTGATCTCCCTAGGCGGCTCAGTGGCCACCATACTCCTAAGGCCACTGGACAATCAGGTTTGGACCCTCAGTGACGAGACACACGGGGCCTCTAGGGATGAGGGTGGAGCTGGCCCTTTCTTCTCCATCCCAATGAGACCCCGAGTCGCCGCCCATGAATGGCCTTTCTGGCTCCTGATCAAGCTGCTTAAGGGCCATAATCCCAGAAACCCAGGAACAAATTTTGGAACCCAGCAGGTTTTGGCAGAAATCCCTCCAGATTTAACTGTTAAAATTTCAGAATTTCAAAATCACGCAGCCGCTACTGCAGCCACGTGACATCGTATGTTATTCTTAACCAGTATTAGAAAACATAT